ATACACCTCTCAGGCCGATGTTATTTCTTAAGTATATTTCTTAAGTATCTTAGCATATATTTCTGTTGAAAGTGCCCCAGCTCATTCAAATGTTATGGTTTTAGGCTTACAAAACTAAGTGGAGTCCCTTTAAAGTTCCGTTAGTTAGGACTGTATTGTGTTTAACATTCAGTTAGTGATAGCCCATGGAGAGATGATTGTTGTAATACAATAGACAGTGATCATCTTTAAACAGTAACAGTTGTAGGTTGTCCTGTGACCACTGGGTGATAACATTCATTTTATTGTCACTTTAACGCTGATAAAATGTCATCTAGCCGATACACAAGATACACAACGTTTGTTTGTACCGTTTATAACAGAATAGGATAATATACATTGTATGCAAGTTACTTCAGATAAAAATTGGTAAATATAAAGATTTGTTTTATTTTTCAACTGTTTAAGGTAAATATAACTTTTTTTTGTTTTCTCAAACTGTTTTAGGAAAAGAATATTGTATACTGATTAGAAAATCAACTTTTTTGGGTGGACTAACAGTTATCATGAAACATGATAATATATTAAATTGCACAGCTGTACATATGTAGATAGGGGGTGTTGTTAATTATAGGAATTCTTTATACAAGTAACTAGCTTTAATTATAGGAATAATTGAACGCATTTTTACCAGCTGGTGTTGTTTTACTTTTAATCACTTAGGAATAACGTTTTAGAAATCAGAATTATTTGCAGAGAGGAAACTTTTATTTCTTATAAAGGATGTTACTGTTATATGACATTGTCAATATTCTGTGTGAAATTGTATTCTTGGCATTCCATACCAATAATTTATTACTTCCCCAAGATATTTGCATAGAAAAACTGTCATACATATTATTATAAGATATTCAAGTGTTTTCTATAAATACAGGATTTACTTTTATTAAGTGCTTTAAAAAAAAAACATTTATGAGTGGAGGTAGCAACAAGTTAAATATGATAATTTTCATACCACAAGATGAAGATATTAATCCTGTATTAATAAACAAAGCTTAAATTTTCTGTTTATGATACATATTTTTTCTCTTTTTAGACATTGATATTACAATTTGACAGACTTCCTCTGAAATTTTGTGTATAGTGTCTAAATTTAGAAGAAAGTCCAGCACCAGTGAAAATACAGTAAATATGTTTCACTACAGTGAAAAATAATTTTTTACAGTAAAAGTACAGACAATGAAAATATGCATTTTATTTCATCAATATTTCTCAATATTGCATTTATTAAAGTATATAATAAATATATAATACATGACTATATTAATAGCACAATAAAGAAAAGAAAATCATTGTACAAGTAAAAGTTAAAAATATGAAATTAGCATACCACTTTTTGTAATGACCTCTCCTAAAATTAATTATAATGTTTAATTGGTGATTATAGCAATTGTTACATGATATTAACTGATGTACATATACAGCTGTCAAAACAATCATTACACTTGTCAGTTATTGCAGGTATCTGAGGCAATTTAAATGACAGTTTTTAGATGCATGAAGTGACATGAAAAGTTAATTTTTGAAAGTTAGTCATAACAATATTTAAAGTATCTGATTTATATAATATGAAATATTTGGATGTTTAATTCTTAGTGATTATTCAAGGAAAGCTGTTTTGTTGTATTTTATTTTGATTTTATTATTTCTCGTTTTCATGAAGTTAAAAGGTACAGTGACGGATATAACTATCAGGAAAAAATTTCTACTTTATTGTATTCAATTTATTAAAAATGATAATTTACATTAATTTTGATCGCATTGATCTTACTAACTTTTAACTATAGCTAGCTATCATCCTATAATTCCACTATGATATAGAGACATTCGTACACTCCCATGTATGCAGTTGGGAGCTTCTGTGGCCTAGTTGTTAAGGTCATTGACTTCAAACCACTTGGTCCCTCACTGCTGTGGGTTCGAATCCCAACAGAGACTAATAGGAGTCTGAGATTTAAGGAAGCTACCCAGCTAGCTTACAGAATGTTGGTGGTTCTACTCAGGTGCCTGTTTGTGCCTGAAATAATCATTGATATTTAATATAATTAACGTAATAACGTACAAACATAATTGTTTCATACATGTTTTTTAAATTATTTGTTTTCAAAATTCAAACGATTATTTTTGTAAACCACAAGCAGCATATATATAGCTTTATACACTTAAAGGAATGACAAGTGACTAAAAGTTTAATTCATCAGATTCTCATATTTTGTTTCGGCACTGACATTGTAATTCTGTGTTTCAAGAAGCAGACATTTAAATAGTAAAACATTTTAGTATTCAGGGCATGAAATGAATTGTTCATATTCTGAGTTGTTTTGCATGTCATTTTCCCTCTTTCTTTTTTTTTTGTCATTCAGAGTTAAGTGTAATCGACTGTAAAACATATCCTGTCAATTCACATCTCACTGATTATGTGTAGGTGGTTTAATATGTAAAATTACTTTTCAAGGTGAACCTGTGTTCCTTATTTGTACTTAAACCTTTACCTCGCTTGATATCTTACTTGAATTTGTCTATCTTTAAATCTGGGCAAATTTGAACAATTCATCATTTTTAGAGAAATTTTTCGATATATCTTACTCAGACTGAAAAGCAAACAGTGAAGACCATCATTAGACGACACTGATGTCTCAGTTATTTTGGTCGGCACTGGCTGCATCGGTGACTAGAATCAGTTACCACTCACCATGAAAGTGTTAAAGTAAAGTGTGATCCCTCAGATGCATCAATCACAATAAAATAACATGAAAATTGCAGATGCTGTATATATGAGTGAGTCTGTACATGAGGGATATTGAAAAAGTGCAACATTGATCCTTCAAGCCCCCCCCCCCCCCCCAAGCACCGGCTTGAGTGGTACTAAATTTTCAACACTTAAAAGTGCTGGACTCGATGATCCCAAAGGACCAGTAAAAAGTGAACTGTAATGTTACAGATCTGTTACCTGTGTCTTAATAACAGTAAAAATAAGTGCTGATGACATTAAAATGTCTTTCATTCTATCATTAAGCAGTATAATCATTCCAAGGTGTAAAAACTAACATAGCAGAACGTTTATAAGAAATTAATTGATTGAAAATTATAACCATGGGTTTACTAAAAATGCAATACATGTCGAAGTACATGTACTCGGTATAAAAAATTGAAGTTTACATTATACCACAAAACATACATGCATGCCTTTTTTAGTGCATGATCACATGTCAATCTAGCAAAAGAAATAAAACAACCTTAAAAGATAACCATTATTAAAGTTTACATGCGTGTTGATGAAATGTATCTTTTTTTTGTGTCAAGGAGATTGTTTTCACATTCCATAGCATATTAAGAGCGGTTGTTACTGTCCAATAACAAGTGTCGTCTGCTGTCATCTACTTCACTTTAGTACTATTATTATATTCTTTAAGGCATTGGAAATCAATACAAAAATGAGTCAGAGACGTTTTGAATCATGCAGTGTATTTTCCTATATTTGTCTTCTCCAATATTCGTGTTTGTTTTACAGGTATAATAATAAATATATACATTTACAATGGTCAGATCTGGAGATATAGATTTATATTATTATCTATTTATTTATTTGTTTTGAGATGCAGTATAAATGTTGGACTAATCTTGTGTACTGTTATCATATATAATATATATAAATGTAAGCCAATAAAACTAATAGGAAATTGAAAAAAAAAACCTGTACTGTTTGACAAGTAGATGGACTTCAGATGGTAAGGACTTTAAAGATGTATATTTAAGTGTTTTGAGTGTAAGTAAACATTTCTTCAGTATCCATGTATTTGAAAACAAAAGTTTGATAAAAATCATAACAGTTAGTATAATATAAAGTAAGTTTGAGAGCACAACAAAAAGGTGTGTGTTACATTATCTATGTTTTTAATGAATCTGTAATAGAACTAAAAATTAGTGTTTCCACCAAGTGGGTATAAATTATTCAAATACATGGTTTCTTTCATACTGTTTTAACAACTGAATTTATAAAGTTCTCATATTTTTACCACTACCACAGAATTCATACAGTTTTTTCTTAATCAGTAATTTAATTATGTTATAATATTCATAAAAATCTGGAAGAAGAAAGTTCCCTAGGAAACAATCCCCTCACTCCCCCTTGCACCGGCTAGAGTGGTACTGGTAGGTAATTTTCAACACTTAAAAGTTCACTTAAACTTCAAACCACTTATGCCCCTCACCGCTGTGGGTTTGGGTCTCACCGGGGGGACTTGGATTCTTTTATGTGTCAGAGCAAGCCTATTTTCTGTGAATGTCGCCCTGCCTTATTGATCCTTGCGGAGTGATGCAATTACTTGAGATAATGATGATGATGATCATTGTTCTAATTTTCCTTATAACGCAGCCAGCTTACGGAACGCTGGTGGTTCAACTCCGGTGCCTTAATTGTATCTGAAACAATACATAGAAGAACACCACCTCCACCAGTAAAGCTGGTAAGTCGCCATATGACCTTGACAGTGTTGATGTGACATAAAACCCAACAAGGAAATAAAAGATTATCACAGAACTGCTGGAATAATTTTATGCCTGCAGAAATATCCAGACATAACGTCTGCTTTAAATCACAATATTTTGATACTAAAATCAATGTGATATTGAACTGTTCTAAATTCAAGTTTAAGGAAGTAAGACTATTTTGTGAATTTAAAACATTAAGGTATCTGCAGGTAAAACAATATTGTATGGTAATATATACATTTATTTATGCACATCTATACTATAAACATGACTATCTGGTCAATTTTATTTAATGTTGTGAATTTTTGTGTAAATTTTTAATGCATATTTACATACTATGTACATAGACGAATAAATTTTATTTTATTTTACTTGATCATGATGTGTACCATTTTAATACACTTATATTATAGATCATGTTTTAATGAAATGTCATTATCAAAGTATTTAGTGGCCTTTATGTTATTCATGCATGGTTTAAAATAGATCACAATATTTGCTTTATGTATGGGTCATAGTCTACTTGAGGCTCATTCAATACCGGATTAACAAACTACGAAAACTTGTGTAAATGATTTCCTATATCGGTATATATTAAACAGTGTTTTTGCCATATATGGAATTGTATTGTAAACAGGTACGATGTTTCTGATGTAATTTTGTGTCAAATATTTGATACAAATGATGATATAATCTTGTTTTACCATATTAGGGGCTATTTTTACACCGTCCAAAAATAGGGGTGTGTAATTAGCCAAATACAGCTGTGCTTGATTTGTATGTAAAGATAAAACTTGATTATTATGATGGATATAATTATACTGAGGTAAACTTGATTGTATATCAGTTTATGTATGTATTTCAAGTGTTAAATACTCTTCAATGTCGAGGGAAATTGGTTAAATTGATAAAAACTATTTGGAAAATTTACAAATTGATTTACGTGCATGTATAATTTACTATTATAGATATCAACGTAATCTTTACCAGCTGTTTCTTTGTGGTTGATCGTGTATTAAAGGTTTATTTTGTATTTACATTTACGGTAAGGTTTAACGTATTTACAACTTGTATATAGAAAGGTCCGATATGACCGCAACAAATTGATCCGATATAACATGTTTTCACTGCAATTTTAGATCGAGAGTGTAATATAGATCATGAGATAGGAGAATCGCTGCATATTTTACTTGAAATACGGGACAATTTAAGTAATTGTTACTCTATAACAATTTACTGTCTGCGAAGTATAATGAACAAACCATTTTTAAGGAAATGTCATGACAATTTCAGCTAACTTTTCAGTTTTTAATGCAATCATTGACAGTAACATTGAAGTACATGTTTATATTTATATGCTTGTGTGGTTTTTTTAAGGTAATTTTTTTCTCTTGCATATTCATGATATTTGTTCATCATGATATTGTAAGTTGCTTATTAAATTTGGTTATAACATAAATTTCAGTGTAAAGTTCATGCAATGAAGCATGTGAGGATTATAAGGTTGAAAGATTATTTTTTTTATTATTCAAAATGAGTCAGATATGAGGGATTAAAGTAATATTATAGTAACGTGTTCTGCTGAATATATGTAAGTTCCTGTGAATTTTTAGAGAGTCTTTTGCGAGTTCTTTGTTCTACTTACATATCTTTTTTTAAAGTATTGATATTTTTAACACTGAAATTTTCTAAATTTCTTCAAACTATAATTCCAAATTAGATATAGGCAGTGCATTTCCATTACACATATCGTCACCTAAGAGCAGTAACTGAATAAGTTCTTCTAAATATAATAGGAGTTAATTATTAGTTAATGCACTAAGGTGACATGATGTTCAACAGGCATTTACAGTTATGGTTTAAATTATACCATATATTGCAAAATATAATTTCTCGGAAGCTATAATTGTATTTTTTATACAAATGTAAATGTGGTTACCTTATGCAGTATATGAAAGTATCGAGGCGTTATGACCAACATGAGTGAATTTATCGTGTAAACATAAAAAAACATCTAATAATAAACAACTGAAACATTTTTTTGTAGCACAACATGTAAATGTTGGTGTCCATAATTAAGGACATCATCCTCAGGTCTGGATGTCTATATTTTTTTGCATATTGGTCGGTTTTAATTGATGACTCAGCAGGTTCTTGGTAGTTGACATGTCTTGAGTTTATACATACATATGTCTCTGTAAAAGCTATGTAAATTGTCATGTTTTTTGTTTATTTGATTTCACATTCTACCAACTTAGTATAATTAAGGTAATAAAGCGACTTTCCAGCTGTACTGGTAGAGGAAGACCTCAGGTGCCCTTCTGTGCATTATTTCAGGTACAAACGGGTACCTGCCAATAGACCATGTGTTATGCGATGTTGTTCAGTATAATATCATAGGAACTCGAGAACGGGACCGCAGATTGCGGCTCAATTACTTTCGACCGTGTAACAGTTTTTAAAAACGTTTCTGCTACATCTAAATATCTTTTAGTATTATCCGAGTATATGGCCTCAAAAAATATATTATCAATTGAACCCAATCGGTCTCTTTTAAAACTGGTCATATTTTACGGTATAATAAAAAAAGACAAGGAGTGACATCAGCCATTCGCTGCAACGTTTTCGGCATTTTTTCCCCTTTGGCTACTATTTTTGTAGAATTTTGTTCCCGTTATTTTTGTCAACTATCAGGTATCGCTCACGGTTTATTGTTTACATGTGTTGACATGTATAGGCGGTATTATAATAGGCGCATTCGTGTTTTGATTTGTTAACATGGAGAAAACAGACATTTTAGTAATGTGGTCCAACTGATTTTGCCTAACTGAAAAAAGGAATATTAAAACATGATCCATAGATAAACATTTTAGGCACTCATCTGGTATTCATTATAAGGAAATGTGAAAGTTTTCCATGTATTGAGTGGCCTAAAGAGGGTACTAGGAAAATTAAACACAAATCAAGCATATCAAGGGGGATAACTTATGCCGAACGTTGCGGTAAATGGCGGATGTCACTCCTTTTCTTTTTAGCTCACCTGTCACAAAGTGACAGGGTGAGCTTTTGTGATCGCTTTTCGTCCGGCGTCCGTCCGGCGTCCGTCCGTCCGTAAACTTTTACTTTAAATGACATCTCCTAATAAACCACTAAGCCAATTTCATCCAAACTTCACAGGAATGTTCCTTTGGTGGTCACCTTTAAAAATTGTTCAAAGAATTTAATTCCATGCAGAACTCTGGTTGCCATGGCAACCGAAAAAAAAAACTTTAAATATCTTCTTTTAAAAAACCATAAGAGCTAGAGCTTAGATATTTGGCATGAAACATCTTCTAGTGAGTGTCTACCAAGTTTGTACAAATAAAAGCCCTGGGGTCAAAATTGCCCCTGCCCCGGGGGGTCATTGATTTTCCCTATATACATATAGTAAAAACTTAAAAAATCTTCTTTTAAAGAACCAAAAGAGCTAGAGCTAAGATATTTAGCATGAAACATGTTCTAATGGGTGTCTACCAAGTTTGTTCAAATAAAAGCCCTGGGGTCAAAATTGGCCCCGCCCCAGGGGGTCATTGATTTTCCCTATATGCATATAGTAAAAACTTAAAAAATCTTCTTTTAAAGAACTCAAAGAGCTATGGCTAAGATATTTAGCATCAAACATGTTCTAATAGGTGTCTACCAAGTTTGTTCAAATAAAAGCCCTGGGGTCAAAATTGGCCCCGCCCCAGGGGGGTCATTGATTTTCCCTATATGCATATAGTAAAAACTTAAAAAATCTTCTTTTAAAGAACCAAAAGAGTTAAAGCTAAGATATTTAGCATGAAACATGTTCTAATAAGTGTCTACCAAGTTTGTTCAAATAAAAGCCCTGGGGTCAAAATTGGCCCCGCCCCGGGGGGTCATTGATTTTCCCTATATGCATATAGTAAAAACTTAAAAAATCTTCTTTTAAAGAACCAAAAGAGCTAGAGCTAAGATTTTAAGCATGAAACATGTTCTAATAGGTGTATATCAAGTTTGTTCAAATAAAAGCCCTGGGGTCAAAATTGGCCCTGGCCCGGGGGGTCATTGATTTTCCCTATATGCATATAGTAAAAACTTAAGAAATCTTCTTTTAAAGAACCAAAAGAGCTAGAGCTAAGATATTTAGCATGAAACATGTTCTAATGGGTGTCTACCAAGTTTGTTAAAATAAAAGCCCTGGGGTCAAAATTGGCCCCGCCCTGGGGGTCATTGATTTTCCCTAGTAATACATTTATAATAGTAAAAACTTAAAAAATCTTCTTTTAAAGAATTCAAAGAGCTATGGCTAAGATATTTAGCATCAAACATGTTCTAATAGGTGTCTACCAAGTTTGTTCAAATAAAAACCCTTGGGTCAAAATTGGCACCGCCCCGGGGGTCATTGATTTTCCTTATATGTGTATAGCAAAAACTTAGAAAAATCTTCTTTGAAAAAACCCAAATAGCTAGAGTTAAGATATTAAGCATGAAACATATTTTAGTGAGTGTCTACAAAGTTTGTTCAAATAAAAGACCTGGGGTCAAAATTGGCCCCGCCCCGGGGGTCATTGATTTTCTTTATATGTGTATAGTAAAAACTTAAAAATCTTCTTTGAAAAAACCCAAATAGCTAGAGTTTAGATATTTAGCATGAAACATCTTCTAGTAAGTGTCTACAAAGTTTGTTCAAATAAAAGCCCTGGGGTCAAAACTGGCCCGGCCCCAGGGGTGTCATTGTTTTTAACTATATGTGTATAGTAAAAACTTTAAAAAAATCTTCTTTCAATAAAGCCCAATGAGCTAGAGCTTAGATGTTTAGCATGAAACATCTTCTTATGGGTGTCTACTGAGTTTGTGCAAATAAAAGCCCTTGGGTTAAAATGGCCCTTCAACTTTGGGGGGGGGGGTTGGAGGGCCTATATACAGGTTAGCGACCTCAGGGCCATCATGGCCCTCTTGTTTCAATATACCGTAAATTTGACTGATTTTTAAATTAGCAGATTATATTAAATTGAGATGAGATTATTAAAGACAAACCACTCACATAAAATGAAAAGATATTCAAAGGTCAGACAAACAATATGTAAAGCCGGTACAGATTCAGATTTATGCGCCGCAATATATGCGTTCTTGTTCCAGAGTTCCTATGTATAATATATCAAATATATAAATATGATTAAACAATTAACAACAGTCATACATTTATTTGATAACTTACTGTTAAGAAATGTTAACTTTATACAAATTTGATACAATTTAGTTATATTAACACAGGAAATCAATAGGAAATTGTTATCAGAAAGAAAACTTAGCTTTAAACATTATTGAGATAATAGTTGAGAGCTTGCTATAGAATATAATGTATAACTGTTGACACTTAATTTATTATTTGCCCATAATTTTTTTTTAAGGCAATTGAATAAATATACAGTAAAATTAATATATATGACTTTTGTGTGCCACCTTAGCTATAGAACCTGGCTCATGTTACAGAACCTGTCTCAAGTCTGCATGGCACATCCGTGAAGTCTGACAAAGCTGATTTGTTGGCTGTGGAGCTATTGCAATTTGAAATTGACATCTCTTGCTTTAATAATGGAAAGTTCTGAATTTAATGTTTAATGTCTGTCAGCGAACAGTATAGTACCAATTAAGTCTGCCCTAGCTGAAGCACTCAGGTTTAATTAAGCCTCGGGTTCTTAATAAATTCACTGATTGCTGTAATTTTGCTTTCAGCATTATAAATCATCAAAGCTCTTTAATAATATTTTTGGACGTACTTCTCAAAAAGCTGCTGAATGGTTTAGAATTTATTAGTTACTTAATATAATGCAAATGTTTAAGTCTTTGGAATGCACTAAATCAATTCAGAGCATTCATATATATAATTATCACCATTATATGGTTTGCAATTAAGTTCATATAAAAGGAATAAAACTTGGTATTTGTTTGAATGTTTTTTAACTGAAAAAAAAAAATAAATAAATAAATAAATAAAAAAAAAACAGGGTTGAATACAGTCATTTTGTTCATAGTTATTACGTACTTGAGAAACTTTTTTTTTAATATATTTTTCTGAATTTGCATTTTTTCCCTGTTTTCAGGTGAAGTCGTGTAATGTAGAAATTGTATAGATCTGGTCTACAGTTAACATAAACAAGCTTTGTTGGAACTTCCATTGATTCCCCTGAGTGCATTTAATAACAGGGTATGTACACATTTATAATTTAAAGTCTCTCTTTTTTGTAATGGGAATGATAGAACAAAGCTATTATAATGATTCTGTAATTGAATTGTTAGCTTTATAATGGTAAATAAGGCAACTTTATACAATATTATAATTATAATATTGATATTATACTCATTGACAATATAAGACTTATTTAGCTGAAATAATTGATTTTAATTAATTGAGAAATGGTCTATTAAATGATATGGTAGCTTGACTCCTTTAGGGATTTCTGTATTATAATATTAAAATCATAAATAGCTAGAGATGCAGCATTAGGCTCAGATAGCACTGAGTTGTGCCGTTTGGTCTGGCTCTTTAGACTTGATGTATATGTCTATAAATCTTTTACATTTGCCATAAGGGTAACAAAAATATATAGAGGATATTGAATGAGTGTAGGTTCAAATCATTTTTACGCAGTCGCAAAATCGGCACGGGTATGTGATAGATTAATATTGTAGAATTGTGTAAAATGTTTGTGATGGGGTGGTGAAACTTATTGTAGTAAAAGGTAAATAAAATAGTTGGGTGAAAGGATGTAAACACTTCATACCATTGATTACCATTGGCCAAATATTATAATGGTTAAGGTGTCTGACTCCTAACCAGGGGTCATGGGTTTGAGCCCAGGATATAACAATGTTTCCTCATAATAACGACATCAGTCATTACTGGTTAGTTCCTGGGTGCAGTTTAAATAACCTGTACGAAAATTCTGAGCCAATTCTGTACAGACTCTGTACCAACTCTGGTTGTTATAGAGGCAGATTTTCATTTTTCTGTACAGTCTCAGTTGACACCGACACAGAATTGGGCACAGAATCTGCCTAAGAAATAGGTGATTTTCTGTGCAGAATAAAACAGAATCAAAAATTTTTCTGTACAGAAAAATTTTCACACAGATATTTTGCTCTTAGTTATTTTTACAAGATAGAATTTCAATACTTAGAAAAAAAATTGAGGCAGAATTTACATAGACACACAGAATTTTAACACTTAGATAACTCTTGAGACAGAATTTACTTTTCTAGCCAGAATTTCACTCTGAGTTAATCTCAGAGTAGTAGATAGATATTCTGTAATATCAGGTGTAACCCCCATGTAACCCCTGTTGGTCAATTCAAATCTCTCAGACTGCCACACGAGGTTTTATTACACAAAGTGTCTTCACATTGGCAAAGATTAAAACATTAGCAAAGATGAATATGTTTTGTTTAGTTTATTTTTCTAATGATAAGTAAACAAGTTAGTTGTTGTGAAGAGCAATCATGTAGAGACTTGAAATTCTCAGATTTAGGGGCCAAAGAGGAATTATGATGGAATTATAATCAAAACCAGAGGTAAGATTTTGCAATGTTTTCTTTGAATTTTTCTTTGAATTATTTGGTTATACCTTCCACTATAGATAAAAGAAATTATTTATACATCTTTTAATAGTCTATGAATTATCTATATTAGTTAAATTTACTCTGATTTGAGACAGACCACTATGGTCTAATGAGTATAAAATTAATGCACTGAGGTCAAAGCTGGGCCAGTGAAATTATTAGTTCATAAATTGCTTTTTGATCAGTTGATAGCTCAAGATCTTTTTTTTTTTAATTTCTTGCTCTATTATGCAATAACTAGTTTAGCTTTTGGTTTTGCTATTCTATAATTCAATTCATTTAGTTTAAATTAATCAATTCAAAACTCCCGGAAATTGTGTAGAATGTATGACCAGCAACGGTTGCTATGGTCAGTGCTTATCAGCAATTCTATTTTTAGAATATTGGCCACTTGTAAATCTCTCCTATTTTAAGTTATGTTGCAATTTACATAACTGTGTAGATTTGTAACACAAGCTTTGGTCAGGGATGATATATGTAAACAGTTTTATTAGTCAGTGACTTTGATGTTACTTGTTGCAAAAAAATTAAGGTATATAGGTATACAATTTTAACTGTTTTATATACACATTGAAATATTTTACAAATTTTGCATATCATTTAATAATAGAATGGACATAATTCAAATTCCTTTTTTTTTACTCTAGATTATGTCAGGATGTGTGTGTGGTGCAAAGACAGAGACAAGCCAATTCCTGATGACAGCGCCCTCAACAAGGCTATTACTCATTGGATAGACTACTCCAGGAAAGAAATGAATAAAAATTGTTAATTAAAATTAATAAATAAGAAATGTTCAAAAGGAAAATAGACTTTGTTTTTAGCCAAAAAAAAGAAAATCTGTACAGAATATTTTCTGTACAGAATTTTTTCTGTGCAGAATTCCCTTTCAGATATTTCCAATGGACAGGGTTAATTCTGTACAGAATATGAAGAAGCCCAGATTTTTTTCTGCCCAGATTTTTTTTCTGCCCAGATTTTTTTTTTCTGCCCAGATTTTTTTCTGCCCAGAAAATAATCGGCTTAATTTAAATATTTCAGAAAAAATCTGTACAGATTTCATTCTTTATCCTTATTGCTAAAATCTATTAATAGAATTCTGGTTCAACTTTGTTTCATTTGACCAGATTTTTTTCTGTACAGACTCTGTACAGAGTTTTCTAAATAAAGTCTGTACAGATTCTGTCTACATTCTGCCCAGACTTTTTCGTACAGGAAGATGCATGCTTTCTTCAGTATCAAGTTAAATCTTTAGCCTGCTGGCTGCAGCTGATATTACATGTGACCAGTCCATACTATGATCAACTGGCATGTCTGTGCCTCTTGATCATGTATAATGGTCTACACTGTTCACTTTTCTGTCAGGGTGCAACCGTCGCCAAGTGGTAAAGGTCATTGACTTCAAACGTCTTGCCTTTCAATGCTGTAGGTTTGAGCCCCGCCAGTGTCATATGTAGTAAAGCTATCCAGAAGAGAGCTTACAGAAGACTGGTGGTTCTACTCAAGTACCCGTTTGTGCATGAAATAATGCACAGCTGTGCACCTGAGGTCTTCCTCCACCAGGAAAGCTAGAAAGTTGCCATATGACCGATACTGTGTTGTTGCAACATTAAACCAAACCCAAAAAAAATATTTTCAATGAGTACTTATTTTGAAAATTTCCCTAAAAAAGATGAATGGTTTTGTCCAGCTCTATTTAAGATAACTGACTATGATATTAGGATTAAATTAATAATGTTTTAACAGAATGACGAAGATGTTGAAAAAATATAAACCAAAATAGTAGATTATTCTGACATTTTTTTGTGTGTACAGTACATTCTTCAGTTTAAAATATGTTGCATGTTACATGAAAAGGTGTGCAGTGTACCATGACAAAAATACAAACATCTGAATGGAAATTTGATAAGGCCCACCTTTCTGCACTTTTATACAGTAAACTAAGTTTTTCTTTTTTTCCCTATTCATACAATGTCATGTAGAAACCAGGCACAGAAATATTTGTTATTTTTGGCCAATAAAACATTGCAGTGGGATATAGGATTTTGGTTTTATTTCAAAAGAAGATGTAATGTAAAACTTTAATTTTATCTGTAAAAACAAGAATTTTGTTTACAAAAAAAAAGAATTGTTAAGAGTGTATTATTAATATGTTGTGGGAAATTTGTTCTTGGGTGTCTATAAATTCTGTAATTAGAAACATTACATTGAATAAATAATGAAGATAGTAAAATGAAGTGCAGCAATTAAATACCAATCAATAAAGTTCAACAATTAAGTACCAATCAATGAACAATTAAATACCAATCAATAAAGTGCAGCAATTAAGTACATGTACCAATAAATAAAGTTTAACAATTAGGTACCAATTTAGTATCATGTAGGATATAAAACAGAGTGAAGGAATGATTTGAAAATTTGTGATGTTGCTATAATAAGTTAGTAAAAGAATAATGTACATGTTATAGTTCTTTAATGTTATGAATATACTGTTTTCCTCAATGTTGTCATTTACTTTTAATCTGATATTAATGCAATGTGTTACTGTTTAAAACTTGTGCTGCAAGTACAAATATATGCTAGTATTGTTTAATATATGTATAACTATAGGTACAGTAAAGTCCCGCTAATAAGACCACTAAGTGGAACCACGGTGTCCTTAAAGTAATCAAGAGTCTACCTCTCAATCAAGGGATCCAGTATCATCCATTGAATTCAGAACTCATTATGTTTTTGTACCAGGAAGTGAACTTAAGAATAGTTCAAAATGGAATTGAAAAATATAATGTTTAAAATTAAACATTTCAAAATTATGCAAATTTTAAGTCTCATAGCTCCAAATTAACTTTTCCAAAACTGAGGGTTCTATTTTTGTCAGGACTTTTAAGATTCTATAATGTGAGAAATTTTTTCCATATAGTTTACAGAAGATTAGTGGTTCTTTTTTTGGTGCCTGCTCGAGCCTGAAATATAGCCACTGAGAGGCACTTTAGGTCTTCCTTCACCAGTTTAGCTAGAAAAATCTGTAATGACCTTTACAGTGTTGGTATGACTTACCCCGACTGATGCTACCCTTGCTACAAGTGCATCTGTGCCGTCTGAGAATGGTTGCCCAGTGTGTTTGCTATTCAGTCAGTACTTATTTTGAAATTTTCCCTAAATATGATGAATTTTTTTGTCCAGATTGAAAGATGGACAAATCTATAAAAGTAAGCTTATCAGGGTTAAAACCAAAAACATTTTGAATGTTCTTTATTAGCGGGATTTTACTGTATTGTCTTTTTTCTGCTCGATATAAAGCATTTTACTGTTGGATATCTTTAACATGTTGCTGCAAGTTTTATGCTAATTAGTATTTCTTTAATGCCAATGTGCAGATTTGCCAACTTCACAATTTGCTGCTATTTTTCTTTTTGCAGATTTTCATCAAACTTCACCTGCATGGTATTGAATGAGATCACTTCTAACTTAAATTCTTCACCTATACAACATACTGTACTGAACTCTTGTAACATTTTCACATCTTTATTTATAATTAACAATTTCATGATATATATTAATAGCTATAACCAGTAGAGAAGTTTTATAAAGTTCACTATCACATACATAACTTTGTTTTTTTATCATACCAGTTTTGCTAGAATAGGTATTATGAAATCTAAGACTTGTAAATAAGATGTGCAAAAAAAAAATAGTCATGTGACAAGAATGTGAAGGTAATACAGTAATTTTATAGATACAAGGTAGGACAGTTATAACTGATAAGAAATCTAGGACAATAACAATTTTGATCAGTTGAAATACAATAAAAGGATTATGATATAAACTTCAATGCAAATTTTTAAAAAAAATAGTTTGAAAGTGAGATCAGAAGTTTTTCAATATTAATTTTTCAATACTAAAGCTATTAAACAAAATTGTTCCTGAAGATCTCAACAAGTTAATAAACTAACAAAAAAGATGTCTGATCTTTTGAATTTTGATGATGATGACGATAACTTGTTCCAACCACAAGAGCAGCAAAATAAACCATCTAGAAATCTCGATGACATTTTCGGGACAAATCCGGAGAGTAACCAGTCAGATAATACGCTAGATGACATCTTGACACCATCAGTTCAGGATGATATCTTTCAAACAAAATCAACACCGAAGAAAACACAGAATGCTGTAAAGAACGTGGACAGTTTATTTGGAGATGTTGATGATGAACCGGATATTTTTTCGAGCAACTCTGCTTCATCGCAAAAGTCAGAGACCAAAAACATTTCAAATCCTTTAGAGGATGACCTACTTGCTGATTTTTTACAGCCTTCTGTTAATAATGAAGATAAAGCAAAGTCCAATGATTCTGACCACATTCAAGATGACCTGAAAGAGAAACCAACCAATGAAATAGATGATTTGTTCGGCTTCAGCCAATCAGATTCTGCTTCAGTTACTCAACAAGATAACCAATCAAGAGCAAGATCTAAATCACATGATGGCATGTCAGCTGACGAATCAGCAGACAGTTTGGATATTCTGTTGAGTGCTCAGCCAATGGGATCAGTGCCCTCTTGTGATGACCTGCTTTCTCTTGTTGAACCAATCACTAACACAGCCATTAGCTCTAACAAACACGCTGCTCAAAATAGTAACAGTAAGGTAGGGTTTTCAATGAAAATTTCTGTAGCAATAGTGTGGTAGAGATTTTTTTTTTTACAATATAGCTAGTGAAATTAGAATTTAACTAACACTGTTTTTATTCTAAAGATATATTTTCCTCTCGAATTAAAATTGAAGCATAATAATTTTTTCATGATAAAAACTTTAAACCTTTCAATTTCTGCTAGTTTGCATTAAAGCCTATCCCTGAACTATATCTGTTGTTAAGACCTTTGATTTCCTTGATGATTGTTATAATGTTATGTGATTATGATAAATTAAGTAAAAGCAGATAGTTACACAAAATCATTAAAGGTTTCCAAGTAACAAATTTAAAGCATTTTCATTTTATGGTCTAGTAGGTTGTAAATTGCATATATTTTGCATTTAATATTTGTATTTAACCAATATATTTATGCATGAAGTTTTACAGTTTTATTTTCAGTAAACAGCTAGCTTGTTTGATTTCTAAATGCCCTTATTTAATACAACTTCAATTTTGCTTGATAATTATTTACCAGCATGTTCTTTAACTTTAACTTTTACATTGTCTTTATGCACTGTAACTTTTAACGAGTGCTGATGAAAATTATAGAAATTACCAGAATCTGCATTGCATTTGCAGAAGCATTATGGGTTAAAACTGTTGTTATACTGGAAGAACACTTCACAGCCAGTTACAAAAATTATATGCTTGAAAAAAATATTTTGCAAAGAACTTCCCTGATTTATATATCTGTTACTGTTTTAAGGATTCCTCAAACATAGAGAAGGACCCATTGGATGATTTCTTTGGGAATTCAGAACCAAATCATCCTAAGGAGTGGCCAGAGCAGACCATTGAAGAAGAAAACAAGCTTCTAGAAGAGCCAGAAGAAGTAGAAGCTTCCAAGCCTTTAGAAGAGTTTGAGGAAAAAGAAGCTTCTGAGCCTCTAGAGGAGTCAGAGGATGAAATCAAGCCTTTAGAAGAAAAGGAAGAAGTTTATTCTGACTCAGATATAGAAGAACCTCCTGTGACAAAACCAAAAACCAATTTAAAAAAGGTAAGATTGTTTTTCAGAGTTAAGGAATGCTTATGTCTCACTTTTTAGATGGTTAACTTGTTATGGCAGATATATTCAAAGAAAAGACAATTTTACATTATGTTATTCCCTTTAAAACTATTAAAAAAACATTTAATTTTTTTTTTGATTTTAGGATGAAAAAAGTTAGCTGATTTGTCATTTTGTTACAGTAATTCCTCTTCATCCAGAAGTGGTTATTGTGACACTAATTGACTGATCATATAATGTTAAAGTTTACTTGCAAATTACATATACAGCATAAATTGGTCTGTGCTACTTTTATACTAATATAATGTAAATTGTGTTTTCTTATAATTGAGGTGAGTTTATTTTTTATAACTTGTATATCAGTATTATCATGTTTGACAATATAACCATGTATTCAGGTCCTGTAACCAGTAACCACATGATTGTATGATCTGGTGCTTATATTATGTATAACCACATATGTGCTGATACATTTCTGTTTGAATGCTGTCATAAATCTATTGACAGATCTTTTTACCTATTATTCTGTCTGTCATGTTAAAGGATTAGCATTATTTTCAGCAATATTTCATCATCTCTGTGTCATCCTTCATTATCATCAGCATAACCATTTTTATCACCACCATTATCATCATCACCACCACCATCATCATTACCATCATCACTATCATCAACACCACCACCACCATCATCATCATCACTACTATCATCAACACCACCACCACCACCATCATCATCATCATCACCATCATCATCACCAACATCGTCTTCAATACTAGCATCATCATCATTTCTACTATCAACATCATTGTGTTTATCATTATATCATAATATAAACATTATCACAGCAAAGTGACAGCATCATCACACAATTATCAATTTCATCACCAGCACTATTAATATCATCATCACAACAAATATTGCTTCCATTATTTTTTTGATTTCAGTAGTAGTAGTTTCTGCTTATTTGAAAAGAGGAATTTGTGGCTGGACTTACTTTATTTTGTTCTGAAACTGAGTTTTTTTATCAAATGATATTGTTTTTAATAATTTAATTGTTCTAGCAACCAGTGCCTGTTGCACCCAGAACAAAGCCAGGTTACAACCACAGCCAGGTCTTAGTCTGCTCTGCCAACAGTTGTGCAAGGCTCTCAGGTTTATTATACTAAAACTTAAAATGACATTATGCTCATATTTTCAGTGTCAAGTTCAGTTGAAAGATTTGAATATTATACCCTAAATGGATGAGCATAATGTCACTTTAAACTTTTTTTTAAATAGATCGTCCAAAATACAAGGTCATAACACAAATTTAACATTTATCATAAAAATGTTATGCTTAAAGGTTGAACTTTTTTTTTTAAAAAAACCAAAGACACAGTTTTCTGGTGAAATCATTTATTTTTGAAAATGTTAACATCTATATTTACCCAAAGAAATTTTTAATTCCATCAAAATAGTTCAAAGTTGTAGTAATATTCTCAGTCAGGTATTCTGGATTTTCCTCATAGTTGAAATATTGACAATCTGGTTTCAAAATCTCTCTAAGTTTTTGCAGATCAGTGGATTCTATGCTTTTATAAGCTTGCACCAGGGCCTCATGCCTTTGTTGTTTCACTCCTGACCAGTCAATATCACTGGCTAACACAACTTTTACTGCATCTAAAAACTGTACCTTTGTAATTGAGGAGATATTTTCATCATTTGGAAATGGTAATTCAATTTGTTTCGGCAAAACTCCAGTTATTTGTAAGAATCTCCAAGTGCGTGCTAAAAAGTTATATGGAGAAATATTACATTTCGAAGCAAATTGTTTCATTGTTGTGAAACTGATGTTTATGTGTTTTGAAGCAATATATATGGCTGATGAACTCTCAAGTTCTAAAGCTGAAATGTTGAGGTTGAATCTAGCATTCCATTTATTGATTATATAATGATATTCTTCTTTGAAATTTTCAAATTTCATGATATAGTCGTACTTGGCTTTACATGGATAGCAATGTTTCTGTATCGGAGTAAAATGGGGGTCAAGAGTGGTCCCTTTGTGTGTTTCATTAATGATATATTTTATGAAGTCGGAAAAAGACACGTGATCCCCGCATGGCATTTCATCATGATAAACCATTCTCTCAATAGGCTGTCCCATAGTCTTCCAAAATAGATAATTCGGGTGATAAAGTTTGTCGACATAAGCTGAGAAAAGTTTAGTGTACGGGTCTCTTACAACAAGCAGGGACACTGCATTTTTCATAAACAAGTCTCTAGGATACCAGTTATTTTTAAGTTCCCTCTGAAAATCTTGATAAAGAAGCACTGGGGAAATGTCACTTTTTCCTCCTGTTTTAAATCGGGAAGTAAACTTTCCTTGGCTGCCTATAGTTGCAAGAGTCTTTTTCCAGAAAGATGATCCGACTTTTTGAATTGGACAGTAAAGAATTCGGTGTTTGGTTTCAACTAGAGTGCTTCCCGGGAATGAGCTGTCCACAAGAGAATTTGGTGGTGTTTGACCTTGTTTTATACACACCTCTTTCAGATATTTTTGTCTAGCTGTGAATACTGCATCATGATCTTTGTCAATGTATTCACGAAATGGTTTAAAACTTTCATCAACTGAAAAGAATAGAAAATAATGCTTAACTATTTTGTGTATCAAGTGAAAACATAAACAGACCTCTCCTGGTAACTGAAACTGCGTGGTCATCTTACAACTTTATGTGGTCCAATAAGACTCGAACCAAGTTATGACTATTGGCTTACTAATTTCAAGTCTACTGATATTTCAAAACATGTCACGAAAAAAGTGTAAGTCTGGTGTATCAACAAAAACTTCACTCAGCTTAACTAGAGTAAAGGTGATTTTGTTTCCTTATGCAGTATTTTAAGTGCTTATATGTACTTAAAGAATAACCCTATATACGAGTATTCAATACATATTTGAATTTTCTTTGTATACATTTGTTTTATTTTTGTACATTTATGATATTGGTACATAGAAGTATTCCATTGATCTTAGAATTCTTGAAATGATAGAGTGTAAATTCAAAGAGCTAATTATTCAAGGTCATTGCCAAAATTAGTAGTTTGAGAATGTCTTGGCCAGATTTTCAGTTGTTGAATTTGTACCAAGAAATTCTATGCTTAAAAAAATAATAATTAAAATATAAATAATATTGTTCATGCTTACATGTAGATAAACTTGATGTGTACCATTCAGGAAACAAAGATAAATTCATCAAAAGTAACAGCACCACAGCTGCTGAGACAACAAAACCCTTTTTAACAGTGAACATTTTCATCTGAAAAGATTAAATGGAAAAAAAAATATCAATGAGTAAGAAATTGGTTAGATATAATTTAAAAGTACAGAAAAAGCATTGGTTCAAAAAGTCGCCTTTTAACAGCTTCATCTGCTGGAAGTAAATCTAATTGGCTTAATAGTTCAAATGGTTCAGATTTGTACTGCAAGGATCATTGCATGGTTTGATACTCAGGTAAGATAAATTGTCTTGATATTAGAGAGATAGATAACTGAGTGAGCAGTGACTTAAGGTATGACCATGGTAAAGGGCACTATCATAAGGAACTGAAAAAATTGACAACATTGTAATGTAATATTATAGAAGATGTTCATGCACTTATTGGGGAGAAGGTGTTTTAACTGACTGATTAAATTAGATGGTATAGCCTTGGAATGATATTCAGGTATTCCAAGGGTACCTTGTTCCTGAAAACTAGAAGCACAATTCTATTATATTTTTCGCTAGTATGTTAATTAACAGTTATTTGAGCCTCATTATACTTTATTCATGTTTATTACTCCTTTATGTCACGTTTGTACATGGAATGAGAGAATAAAATGTTTTTTGACTTGACTTGAAAAAGACCTGGTCATTTTTTATCTCAATGTGTGACAATCAGATTATAAAACACATAGATATTCTTGACATGATTAATTATAATTGTAAAGTCCAGAATTGTACAGTAAGTAATATATATGTCATTAATTTATAATGTATTAATTATAATATGATAATTCTACAGTCATGTATAATTGTAAGATAAAAGTAATAGTAAAATAAATACTCACAAAAATGAAGTCTGTAATTCCTTAAGAAAATTGACAAAAATGACAGTTCCAATCCACTTTGAGAGCTTGTAACCTTCAAAGAAAACTTTATATCTATATTTTTTTTAAAGTTTTAAATAATGCCTTGGAATTTAAGCAGAGCAATTGTCACATTATGATGAAATTGTCCAGTGTGTAATTGTCCAGTGTGAAATTGTCCTGTGTGTAATTGTCCAGTCTGGTTTATACATGTATTAAATGTGTGAAAAATTATAACAGGTTATAACAAGTCACAAGTTGATTTAATTGTATTAACAGCTGACTCAGGTGTAAAGTAAATAGTGATCATAAGTCTTTCATTAACAGTTTGCTTATCAAATAATGTAACATGTTATTCCAACAAGAAACAAATATAGCAGTGTGCTATTTCCAAGCTAATTCCCCAGTATAAACAAACCTTAGTTACTGTAAATTTATATTGTGACAATTGGTGCAATATTGTTCCCAATAGATTAGTCAACCTGTGGTGCTTATTTGTGAAGTTGCAGCTGTAAAAGATTGTTTGAACCCCCAGATTAGTTGGAAAAGTCCAACATATATATATATTTTTTGTCGCATGATCTTAAAGTATGAAGACATGGGTTTTACAGTCAGTAATTTTTGTGGAATAAAATGCAAATTAAAAGTTGTATGGACTAAATTTTTAATGGATTAGTAAGATATTGTGTTGTTTTACATGCCGCCGAAAGGAATTTGCAACAAAATAAAAAGGAAAATAGAAAAAATAAACGTAAAGAGATTAAGCCTTTGTTAGAACAGACATGTACACATAACACAGCAAACTTGCGAAATAACTAGTCATCTTTAATGCAGATACATATATTATATTATTGTGCTCTTCTGTAAACAAAAAATTGAATTGCTATGGAACATGTTGTTTTAATGCAATAAAATATTTGTAGTTGTAGTTATAAACTAAAGGTAGTCTTACTATAATGTTTTCCAGCCAAAAAGTCTAAAATCCAAGTAAATTACAAAATAAAGGTCAAAATATGCAAAAATAGCCCTTACTGGGAAAAAGTTACACAGTAGAAATATAGAGATTAATTAATACTGCAATTAATCAGTCCAGTCAGTCATGCCATACAACATGCAAATCATTGCTTGAATTGTGAATATTTTTACATTTCTTAAAATCTTGGCATTTTTTTCTAAAAGATAATTTTTGGCTCATCTAAAGTCATGCAGCTTTAAGGATGTATGTTTTCTTCTCACCTAGGAAAGCTGCAAGATACCCAGCATAGAGCTACATGTAGGCCAGTCTGCACTGGGATCCTCTGACCAGACTTGAAGCCTTCTCAGGATTATTGTACATGCATTGATGTTGATTTTACTTACACCTTAAATGTATAAACCACTTGCCCCTCACTGCTGTGGGTTCGAATCCCGACAGGGAGTTTAGATTTTTTCATGTGAGGAAGCTATCCAGCTAGCTTACGGAACGTCAGCGGTTCTACTCAGGTGCCCTTTCGTGCCTGAAATAATGCACGGAAGGGCACATGAGGTCTTCTTCCACCAGTAAAGCTGGAACGTGGTGATAAAAATTGACCTATACTGTGTCGATGTGACGAAAAACCCAAAACAATCAAACAATGTATAATTGGAATTCAGAGAAAATTCAACACAAATTCAACAGGTTTAAAGGTGAATAAAATAAAAGAAATAGATAAAATTTTCGGATAATTGTTTAATTTATAAAAGATGACATCAATTTTTATGCATAGAAATTTTTAATTCCATCAAAATAGTTAAAAGTTATAGTAGTATTCTCAGTCAGGTAATCTGGATTTTTCCCTCATAGTTGAAATATTCACCAATCTGGTTTTCATAATCTCTCTAAGTTTTTTGCAGATCAGTGGATTCTCATGCTTTTATAAGCTTGCCCAGGCCTTTCATGCCTTTGGGTTGTTTCACTCCTGACCAGTCAATATCACTGGCTACACAACTTTCACTGCATCTAAAAACTTACCTTTGTAATGGTGGAGATTATTTTCATCATCTGGAAAATGGTAATTCAATTTGTTTCGGCAAAACTCCAGTTATTTGTAAGGGAATCTCCAAGTGCGTGCTAAAAAGTTATATTGAGAAATATTACATTTTCGAAGCAAATTTGTTTCATTGTGTGAAACTGATGTTTAGTGTTTTGAAGCAATATATATGGCTGATGAACTCTCAATTTCCCTAAACCCTAAAAATGTTAAATTTTTGAATCTACTTTCCCAAATTTTTTGATTATATAATATATTTTTCTTTAAAAATTTCAAATTTCATAATAAAAAATCGTATTTGCTTTACTGATGCAGTTTTTTATATATGGGGAAAATTTTGGGGGTTCAAAATCCCCCCCTTGATTTTTTGCTAAATATATTTTATGAAGTAGGAAAAAGACACTGACCCCGTTTTTGATTTTTCTTTTATGTTTCCCCAAATTTCTCAATAGGGTTCCCAAAATCTTAAAAAAAATAGAAAATTTTTGGGTGAAAAAATTTTGTCGACAAAAGCTGAAAAAAAAGGTTTAGTGGGGGGTTTCCCCTTAAAACAAGCGGGGCCCTTTTGCATTTTTCATAAAACCAATAAATTTAGATACCTGTGAAATTTTACCGGGTTTTTTCTAAAAATTTCTTCATAGCAAAAAGGGGTTTAGACTGAAAAGGGTCCATTTTTTTTTAAAAGGGGGAATTAAATTTTCCTTGACTGCCAAAATTTTGAAAATCTTTCCCAAAAATAGTTTCCAAATTTTGAACTGGAAAAGTATAAAATTTTTGGTGCTTTTTTAAAACTATGGTGCTTTTTGGGGTAAATTGAGCTTTTTAAAAGGTTTTTGGGTTTTTGTTTGCCCTTGTTTAATCCCACGCACCCTGTCAGATTTTTTTTTCTTTTTTTAAAAATACTCCCACCCATAAATATTTGTTTTGTTTTTTTCAGGGAAAGGGTTTTTTGGTTTCCCCTGAATAAAAGGGAATAGAAATAGATAAATGAATCCTATAGCCCCTTTGAATATTTTTATAAGCAAGCTCAGTCTGTGAGTTCTGAAAAATTTTAAACAGTTTCTTATATTGCTAACCCCAATAAAATTTGTATTTTAAAAGGTTTTTAAATTAAAGACCTTCAAAAAGTCTGACTTGAGACTGTTGACTACCTTACCCTGTCCATGATAAATTTCTTAAATGGACTTGACGATCAGTATTAGTCTCACTGCGAAAAATACACTCGTATATAGAAATATAGAAATATACGGTCCTGTATCATTTCAACATATACAGTATTTGTCTAATATACGGACCAAGTTTAGAGTCCGTATAGGGAACACTTACATACAGGAAGTCTGTAATTGATCACGCATGCACGGGATTCCGTATATAATTGTTCCATTATTATATATGTACGCATTTTTACACTTATGTATGATATATAGTATACAAATATTAATTTTGAATGACTAGTTGCCACACATTTTTTTTTGTTTTCTGTCACAACTAAATGGGTATTGCTCAGAAATTTGATATTTAAATCTCTGAAACAAGTAATGAAATGTCTAAAATACAAGTTTAAGGAGCTGTATCAATTACTGCACATTTCCAAAATTAGCAGGATAAAAAAGACCTGTCTGGTTTTAAGTTTTTGATCTGTTTAATATGAGAAATTTTATTCCAAGAACTGTGATTATAAATGTGGTTATGCTTACATGTAGATATAGATCTAATTGATGTGTACCACTCGGGAAACAGTAATAAATTCAGGGACACCACAAATATCAGAACTGCTATTCCTGCAAAACCATAGAACCTTTTGATATCCAACATTTTTGCCTGGAAAAGATAACAAAAAATGTGAGGAATAATGCCTCACACCTTGTTTACTACTGGTATTTACAGTGGCACAGAGGTGATTATTTCATGTGCACAGAGATACTAAGTCGTGAACACAAGATAATTAAGTTTTGCCAATGAGTTACATTGTACCATTAGTCGTATGAAAACTACAAAAAAGGTTTGTCCAAGATGTGAACATGCAACTTAATTTGGTCACAAGTCTGTAGTTCCTACCTCTAGGCCATCAAGAAGTATTCATTGATTAAAGTATCAAAACCTATACTATTATTAAAATCCTATTTATAATTAAGTATAAATTGTAATAAATTACAGAAACTGAAAAAAAATGAAATAACGAAAATTAATGAGTCTCAGGTCAATAATGCCAAACCATACCACTCAAGTTTATAACAAGTATTATTATAATAATTATAATATCCCTTGCAAAGTTGAGAAATGTAAATGATATATTTCATTTTTTTATAATCTATTTATTAAATAATAATCAAAGATTATTGTTATGACAATTATTTATAATACCAAAATAATTACTCACTAACAGCTGAGTCCAAAGAACTCCAAAGAAAACAATTTTTTGATTTTGTCAACTTTAAAAGGCTCCCTTAATCCCCGTACGTGATGCCTGGTATTGCTACAAAGAAAATGAGTTTTTCCGTTAACTTTTAAATGGTACCCCTTGAATCTTTACAGAGGGGAATTGTCTGTATGAAATTGTCTAGAAGCTTTAAAGCCAATAGCTGACCTAACAGCTGACTCCAATACAAAATAAATAGAAATTATATCAAGCTTTTCTTTTACTGCCTTCTAATCAAACATCTTTTATGTTTTCCCAATATGAAATTTGAATATGCCCAAAAGATATCAATCAGTATTGCTATAGGGCACCAGAAGTTGTTTTCTTTTCATTTCTTTTTATCTACCTCAACCCAACATCTTGTGAAAATGAGAAATAGAAAATGCAAATCTGGCGAGCATAATATTGTTTTATTCAACGAGTTCAATAAATTCAGTAATGATCTTACACGAATTTAATATTTTATTTATCACATACCCAAAATAAAGTCCTTTTAAAGTGAAAAAGAGTCATTTTTCATTGACGCGCCTATAGAATAACGCTAACATTTAGCGTACAACGCTAATGACATCACATCAAAATATATGCACGGCCATGCAATACCATTTTTACAGAGTCACAAAATCGGCATGGGTGTGTGATAAAATTATGTATTACACTTCATGTAAAATCTTAAAGAACTTGCATTAATGAGAGCATTTAAATAAGTATGTGACATTAATCTTTGTCATTCTTTTCATCCAGTTAGGCCACAAATGATCCAATATT